CATGTTGCAAGGAGGGTCCAGTCCTTGGAGAGGGACCTCATGCTTGGGAGGTTGGAGGGACAGCACAGGAGAGGAAGACTCTCGATGAGATGGACTGATTCAGTGACTGGGGTAATGGGGGTAGGTGTGTCAGAGATAGTGAGGTTGGCACAGGCTAGGGCTGAGTTTAGAACTGTACATAGGGTCTCTATGAGTCGCAGGTGACTCGATGGCACATAACAACAACAAACAACGTCTGTATGTATGAGAACAAAAAAATTCCTCCAAAGGATCCCTTTAGTTATCTTTGAATGAAACTCACTAGTCAGCTGATAAACACACCAAGTTGCAAAAAACATTTGAAAATTGGCACTGTCTTAAAAGTAAACCAATATGTCTCACCACTCGTGAGAGGGTACACCTTTATTAGTAGTTTTCAATCTAGGTCCCAAAAGCTCCCAAAGTTACATGGAAGAGAGGGGGCAGAAAGTAGAAAATTTTCTAATTTTTTCAGGCCACATATTTTCAATGTAGATTTTTCATCATCATAAGGAGTTTCCCTCAGGAAATATTTTATTAAGCAGTATACAATGCTCCATCACTGATGTTTTTGTTGTGTGTCATTTAGTCAGAACCAGCGCATAGCTGACCCTCCAGTAGGATTTTAGAGGCACTAATGATTCCACAATAAACTCTAAGGTAGAATCAATATTTATTATGGCCCTTACGGCATAATACAATAATATTAAAAAATCCATGATAGTGACATCTTAAAAAAGAAAAAAAAAGAAATCCTGAACTGTTATCTCATTTTTTTCTATAATAAGAGGTACATAGGGAACAGGGATCACCTGAGATTTAGTAATGTCAATCCACTATCTCCTACTATTAAGCCAATAAAGCTGATTTAGAATATTATTTCTCTAAAGAATGAAGGGAGAAAAAAATAATAATATCAAAACAAAATACAGTGGAAAAAGAAAAGGAAAGAATTTCTCACCAGAGGAAAAAAGACCTTACCATCCATGGGTGATTAAGAAGATTGAGATGTAGTTCATGGGCCAAATAAAAACAAGGCATCCTTTTTACAGCTGCTTGAGAAATACAAGATAACACTAATATTGGTCTTCCTGGAGATCCAAAAGCCGGATCAGTCATTGCCATAATATGAGAAAATTCATCTTGCCATTCATGTCCTAAAGAATATAAAAGAAAATAGCATTATTTTACAAAACCAAAATCAAACTAACAAGGAAACAAAAAATAACCAAAATCCAAACCTATCAAACTGCTTCTAGCACTGAGTTCTCCTATTAATTGTTGTAAAATTAGGTTCTATATCTTTTAAGACAGTATTTTAGATGGAACCAGAAGAGGAAGGAATACACAGCACAATTGAGATATCTCAAAATGTTTTCATATTGTTTCTCTCACCAACTTGTAGCCTCTCTTTCCTTTCATGGTTTTTCAACTTTTATGCTAGTTAAAACAATTTCAGTAGAACAGTTTCATCAGTAATCCACTGCTGACAAGTCATTTCTGACTCATGTTGTTATTGTTGTTAGGTGTAACTCATAGTGACACTATGAACAACAGATGTGAACCCTGTCCTATCCTGTGCCATCCTTACAATCTTCAACATCCTCAAGTCAATTCCTGCAGTCACTGTGTCAATTCACCAGGTTAAGGGACTTCTTTTCCTTCAGAGTCGCTCCACCTTCCAAGGATGATATTCCTCTCCATTAATGGTCTTTCCTAGCAAAATTCCCAAAGTATGTGAGATGAAGCTTCGTCATCTATGCCTCCAAGAAGCACTCTGGCTGCACCTTCTCCAAGAGATATCTGTTTGTTTTTTATAATCAATACACTTTGTACCAGTAGTCAGGATATCAGAAGACACATTGCACTGGGGAAGTCTGCAGTCAGAGACCTCTCCAAATTATTGAGGGGCAATATCAGTTTGAGGATTAAGGAGTACCTGACCCCAGTTATTTGCTATGCATCTGAGAGCTGGACAATGATTAAAGATGACAGAGAGGCAGCGCGAGGGCGACGCAGCGCGAGGGCGACGCAGCGCGAGGGCGAGGCCGCC